TATATACAGACACACACATATATATAGTGACTGATCCAGGATGTCTGAATTCTATGAAAACTATAATATTGATTATATACAGTATATCGTTCTTCGTACAGGCAGCATGGTAGTGCAGTGGTTAGCACTGTCATCTCACACCTCTGGGACCTGGAATCGGGTCTCCACCAGGATTCCATGTGTGTGGAATTTGTATATAGGTGCACCAGAAAAATTACCTTTGAGAAACTGATTTTCGTTTCACAAAACGAGTTAAGCTCAAAACAAAGACCTTGTTATGGAAAAATCTGCACACAAAATTCATCCTAGGAGCCACAAATGGCCCAAACGCCTACGAATCTATTTGTCATATAGTTATTTCTGGGCGCAAGGTTTTCTGGCACCATTTCACGCAAAGTATAAAGGTATAATAATAAGCTCCTTGTTTTCAATTCCAACACCCAGAAAAGTCTCAAGGCAGTTTGGTTTGTGTCAAACCTGATTTTCAAGCTGATGATGCCCCAGCACTCGTTAATTTGACTGCTTGGCTAATGGAAAATAAGACAGAGAAACAGGGTAAACAGCCACATCACATGTGAAAGACTACAGGAGTAAATGCAGGAACATGAGTTTGTTTGTGATGAGGTTTTTATTTAAAGGCATATGTATTATAACTAAGTACATTTAGCAGGGGGAAAATGCTAATAATTTCTTTTGTACAAAACCAGACAATACAAAAATACTAAAATATATCTTTTCATCTGTAGTTGTAATGAGATTTACGCTCCTTACAAATCCAGAATATTTTAGTTTACTAAATACAAAATATAGTCAATCGATGCATTTGTTTAAGCAGCATTTTGTAGGTAACACAGGTCATGACACAAACATTTTAATTCATAGTGGATATATCTAAAAAAGTCAGGCATAATATTTTACATAGTTCATTTTTAGTGATATATACATTATTTATACAGTTATCAAAAAAAACAGCTTACTGTGTTTGAAATGACAGGACGGACTAAATAATATGTAAGACGCGCAATGTACGAGTTTTCTTTTCAGGGTTCTTGCATAAAAAGTGAAATACCAAGACAAACTGTACATTATTATGGTTAATAAGGCAGAAGGCACAGTATTAATGGTGTTAGATGCAGTTATAACACACAAAAAAATCCACAGTTTTTTTTTTTTTTTTTGAAACATAATAACAGACGACGCCTCTGCCCCCCCCCAGACGGACGGCTGTATTCGTGTAGCAGACTGACGTTCAGGCCCCAACTTGTCTGAGACTGATCCACAGACTGGGGGTGGCGGGGGACGGGGGGGGGCGCTTTTCTTTGTGTCAGTTCCCAACATGTTGTGCCGTTTGAGTCAACGGGGCCCATCCCAACCAGCGGAAAGAGCCCCCAGCCCAAATGTGCCTACCAGCCCCCGGAGTCAATCCCAAGACCCCCACCCCCCCCCACCCAGACAAACAGCCCCAGCCCACAACACTGACCCCACCGTGGCACTCAGCCTGGGGGTAAACAGCAACAGGACCCCATGTCTCTCCATCCACCAAAGTCCCCTCGCCGAACGTCCATAACTAAACTTACACTGCAGTTCTGTTTGCAGGCATCCTAACGGGGCAAACAAGTGGCTCATTTATGCCGGGAATCCTCGTTTTCCTTGGAAAAGGACAAACACCCCCTTGGCGTCTGATTAAGGCTTTTTAAATCATCCCATTCAGGACAGTGAAATGGTGACGTTAGCTTGGATATAGTGCTGTGAGTTATTTAATATTGTTAAATTTTGTGCAGAAAAATATCATTCCTATTACTAAGGAATTTGTTGTCCTATATGCATACAGGTTTGGAAACAGAGGGAATGCATGACCACTTCTGTCCCGGGGAAGAACTGGAGCGCGCAGTGAATCCTCACCCCCATTTCACGTTTTCGCTTCTCTTTCGTTCATTCTGGTGATTCCTCTTTGCCTTTTCATCCAGTTATTTCCCACAGAAGGAGAGCCATTCTGAGCCAAGAGCCAGTAGCTGCTCGTCAAAGTCACTCACATTTAGGATTCTGGCTCTCCTCTAACGTGGCTCTAATGAACGTCATGATGAATAGTCTTAGTAGTGGGAATTAGTTCCCTTGCCTACATTCTGGTGTCAGACGAGGAGAATGAGCAGCAGTGGGGGCCGGCTGTCAGTCAGGTGTATTTTCCACGTGGTTCCCATTGTCCTGGGGTGTGAACCCCCCCTCACACAATGTTATGGTGGTTGTTCCTGTCAGTTATGTCTGCTGGAGGAAGAAGCTCCTTCTTCACTGGAGATGGTGGCGAGACAGTCTTAGCCTTGGGCTTGAAGAGGTCAGACACATAGAAAACCTGGGAGATGGGAAAGAACAGGATTAAAGGGTGAATCAGGCCACACGGTTCAGTTCCGGAACGTTCTCCGCTCTTCAGATACAGTGATTATACTGGCAACTTCCTGGACCAGAGGTGTTCGACACCAAGGCTGGAAGCTCCATTCAGCTGTGGAAAGAAAATGTTTGTCCTAGTACTATATTACACATCGTGTGGATCACACTGTCAACTATAATTGCACATCGTTCATTTTCCACCAAGATTTTGTCATAGGTCGTGTTTAAGCAAGAAATTCACTTTCTTGCTTACTAATGATTAATTTAAAGAGTGGCAGCACTCAAGGGGGTAGAATTTTGCAAGGAAACTGTGGAGGCTGGTGTCTCAGGGTCACAGATTTAGAATGACCGAATGAAACCACGTGTGACAGCTTTCAGTCAAGAGCCACTGATGTAAGTCATTTATTGTAAGACCTGCTTACTCAGACAATCTGTGTTTTTCAATACCACATCTGATCCCTTTATGATTTTATAAAAATAAGATGGTTTACGGATCGCGTGTGTCGCTGGAGATGGGGTGAATTTCCTGGTTTAGCAGGATACTGTTGATAAGTATTCTGTTGAGTATTAGAAACATCCGTTAACCACTATGGCGTTTAGGGTGAAATGTTGAGCCTCACCTCATTGCACATGTTGAAGGGTATCCTGTGTTTCGTCAAACACAAAATCACAAGATCTTGTATGTGGACCTCACCGCTACACAGATCAATTGCTATGAAGCTTCTTGATAATCACAGTTCTGCACCATGAAAGCGCCATTGAGCCAGGAATAATGAATAATGGCGTGCTTGAGTTGCCCGCCTTGATGATGCTCTGGACGCAGGGACACAACTGCAGGAACTATTTTTGCTAGCAGGCAAAATTCTGTCATGTTTCCTCTGTCACTGTCCCATCAGATCTGGCAAGCCAACTGGTGCCAGTCAGAAAAGCCAGCGGCTAAAAAAAGGAATTCACTTCCTGTTTTGTGTAAAGAGTCCGGAATCCCAGACAGAGGCATTCTTTGCTTCGCTGTGGCTGTAACACCGAGTGAGATGCCCTTTGGGAGGAGCTGAACACTGGAGAAAGGGTGTAGCAGGAGATGGGCGTGTGACATCAGCTGCCTGCCAAACACGAAGTGAGGGAGCAGGCTCAGTGATGAGCGGCAAAGTGGCCGTGTATCCCTCCCTCAGGAAGTGTCATTTGTGCCATTATCTTCTGCAGTATGACAAGCAGCACTATTCTATAACGGAGGACAGTTAATTCTACTCTGACATGAACGGACCTTTTGTGTACAAGTGGTCACACAGGACTGCAGGACCAGAATATCTTAAAGAGGCCCTAGACTGAGCTCTGCCACGAGAGGCTGACCTGATGAGGAATGTCCTGACCCCAGTGTGAAGCCTTATCAGAGCTGGGAGACTTCCTGTGTCGTAACCTGTAGAATGCAAGCGACCTTCGCCTCACTCTAGGGCCCATTGTGCTTCGAATGCACAATCAGCAACAGGAACCAGCTATGAGCCTGTTTGCCCTGCTCCGGTCCAGCTGGAGACCCCGCAGCCAGTGGAGGGGTAGGGGTAGTGGTTGGGGGAAGGGGAGGGCCAGCAATGAGCTCCAGCGGATGTTAGCAGAGCGGCGGCCACAGAGATGAGACCAGGACTGAGGCAGCCCGAGGCTTCTCTGCTTCTGCCTCTGATTTTGAGGTCTTCTGGCAGACGTGTGTGACAGTGGCACAAGCAAGTGACTGGAAGAGTGAATTCACACTCAACGGATAACATGAGGGGAGATTAATCACAAGTCTCTATCCATGATTACGCTTCTCCTACGGTGGAGAATATTAAGTATGGAGAAGAGGCGGGCTTGAGTGGGTAAAAACTACATTCAAGAGAGACTCGAAGAATGATAGGATGGATAATGTCAGGAAATATGTGCAGAGAGAAAGGCCTTGATAAGTACAGCGCGGAGCGGGGGAGACGGCCTTAGCGTGGTTTCACAGCTGCTTCCTCATGCCTGACCTTGGGGTTGGCATTTCAGGAACACGCAGTCTGCCCCCCCTTCCCGCTGGCGTACGTTAAGGTCACGACACCGTGGACAGGAAGCCCCACGGGATGCGAGGTACTGAACTTCCTGTCGAACCACTCTTAACTATTCCTGCCTGTCTGCGACTAGAAAACGTCTAAGAGTTCGCTTAGTGATTCAGACCAGTTAAAATATATGGCACGACCGCTCATGTAAATCAATGTGGCCACCGGCATGTGCGAGCGAGTGTCCCGTCACGTCATGGCCCTGCCGTTTAAATCGCCACGTCCCAGTGCTCTCAGGGTCACTGACACAATGAAACTACAGTGGCAAGTGTCCATCTGGCAAGGAGTGCCGAGGGCCACTATTCATCGAGGGAGAGGAGCCCAGCTGGCTCCTTCCGCGGGAACACAAACGCGAATAAGAGCCGAAAATATGGAAAACAGACATTCGGCTCTTCCTGAAATCAAAACTGTTTTTCAATAAAAAGACATGCTATTTTCAATTTTTCTGGAGGAGAACAGAAAACGAAAATCCTTACGGAGTGTCACAGCATTCAGGCTGCCATAGCTGTGGCACAGATCCCAAATGTAGATGGGGGAAAGTTTATACCAAATGACAAACAGGGCAGAGTTCACTCCGACCTCAAGTTTAAGGTTCTGTATTTGTAACCAAGCCAGGAGAACATCCAGCCATCCATTTACTCTATCCATTATTCAAGGTTGTGGGGGGGGGGGGTCTGGAGCCTAACCCAGAAGCTACCAGCACAAGACAATGAATAATACAGGATAGGGTGGCGACCCATCACAGGGGGCAAGCATGTGCGTGTCTGCACACACACACGGACACACACACACACACACACACAGGTTTGTAATTATATCTTTGTGGGGACTCCATTCATTTCTATGGGGAAAAAATCACAACAACACAACCTTAACCCCTACCCAGCCCTAAACTTAACCATAAGTAACCAAACAAAATACAAGACTTTTGGCATTTTTAGTTTTTTGATTGCAGTCATAGATTTTTATAAATCTGAGTTTCCCCTTGTGTGGTCTGAAAAGGTGATCCACAGAAGGACAAAATCACATTATGGGGACATTTGGGCCCCACAATGTAATATATACATGACTCACACACACCTACAGGCAAACTGACAAACTGTTTTTGGACTGTGGGGGGGAACCAGAGCACCTGGAAGAAACCCCACAACAACACGGGGAGAACATGCAAACTCCACACACGCATACAGAGCCAGGGCAGAGACTCAAACCTCAGGCCGAAAGGCATCAGGCACCAGTGCTAACCACCGCGCCACCGTGTCACCCAGCCAGAATGAAAAGGAAGACTCACATTAGCCAAGCAGCGGAAGACCCAGATATTTAGTTATGGAGAATGAGCCAATACGTGAGAAACAGCACATCAGGCTTTAAGAAGTAATACTCCATTGCTGCAGTAAGGAGAATGTCGGTGTCAATTTCTGCGATTAATAGCATGTCTGGTCTTGAGAGTATCTAAGGTGACGGATTGTGAATGACTGCCAAGTTTAACCTGGAGCACAGTGACAGTAGTTAGCCTGAGACCTAGCGGTTGGCTGGTCTCAATGAAAGCCATTTCAATTCATGAAAATCTCTGCGACTGTGTTTGTGGGAGCAGGGAAGCCCTGTAAAGTCTGATGTATCTTAACAAGGACCTGATAATAAGAAAGGGTCGTGAGATTGAAGGATGCAGCGAAGGTGGCGGCTCTGCCAAGCATGTGCTCAGCGGCAAACATCACCAGCAACATTCTCCTCATCTCACAGCTGGCTGCCAGGTTTATGGAGAGAAATGATACCAGTGTGGTAAGAGCATAAGAATGACACACTGTTTTTCACTAGAAACATTAGCCTGCTGTAATGAAATGTAATACAGATGCTCCTCTACTTACGAACGAGTTACGTTCCGAACGGCCCTTCGTAACTTGAAATGTTCGTAAGTCGTTATTTAACATCATTTTAAGGGTATATGCAAGTACAAAGAAGTAGGATGCTGGGAGTATGTACGCTACACTGCTGCGTGGTGGGAGTAGCGGCCAGAAGTTGTACTAGGCGGAATTGGCGCGTAGAAAACAAAACTGATGTTGTGGACAGGAAACAGGAGCCCAAGGGACACAATTTGGACTTAAAGTCCTCTTTCTTCGTAAGTTGAAAGTTCGTTAGTAGAGGAGTGTCTGTATCTTCATTTTTTTTACGAGATACTTTGTGAAGCAGATTTCTATACTATGCTAATGGTCAAACAAACAGGCACATCCAGAGGTGACGGGGGATGTGAAGGAGATGGGTACAGGGGCCCGGAAGGGAGGACATGCGAGGCCGATTGCGACGACCGCGAGGAGGCACTCACCACGCAGTAGGCCACGAGTGCGCCCTGCACGAAGCCCGCCAGCACGTCGGTGGGGTGGTGCTTGTGGTCTGAGACGCGGGACAGTCCGGTGTAGAAAGCCATCATGAGGAGGGTGAACTGCAGGAGTGGCCTCAGGAGACGGGCGCCGCGCCACGTGAAGCGTGACTGAAGGTAGAACTACAGGGGGCGACATGGAGCAGATGTTAGTGTTGCCAATCAGACATTACAAATAATAACCCACCTGTCCATCCATTTTATCAAGAGATTTTAATGGTTTTAATGGTCAAAATCAACTTCCAGTTCTTCCAGCACTCAGATGTATGAGTTAAATGAATATATTTACTTTAGTATGATAAGCATTAGCGGAATGTTAGATGTACGTTTTCTAAAGTTAATAGAATGAAGTGGCTCTTCTTTCTGCTGGAAGACCAAAATCCAGATGCTCTAAGCTTATAACAATGTCAAGCGAGAAGCCGTAGACTTCCTGCTTCAGTCTCCTCTCGCTGAACTTCATCACTTAGTTTTCCTCAATTTCCTGGAAGAGTGGCCAGGAAATGTGGACTGTGGGTGGAGCACAGATCTCTCCTTGACCTCCTCAGACAACAGAGCACTTAAGAAACCCAACAATGTTGAAGACATACGGGGCTGCTGTTAACGTCAAACTTCGAGTAACGGGGTGGACAAGGTCCTGCTTGACTTCTGGAGCTGCCTGTTAGCTGACTCCCAGATGGATAAAACTCTGTACATATATAAACTGCATAAATGATGACTTTTAGGAGGCATGGTGAGGTTCAAAATAAGGACCACAAACTTAAATAGACAGGGGGTGACCATTGGTTTTGGGATTTAGCCAAACAAGCCTAGAAGACTTCATATAGCCACAAAAAGTATGCAAAGCTCATCCATCCATCAATCCATCCATTTTCTGTACCCACTTGCCCTAAAATGGGACAAAGATATAAATATTACATTGTCCACCAAAAATCATATTTCACTAGCCACCATTAAATCAAAATTTCTCCTAAAAAGTACACTTGCAGCAACAGGTTTCTAGGTCAGTGCAAATGAGCGGAAGAATAAGGCAGCTATTGCAGCTCAAGAGGCAGTAAATGCAACATCTGTGAGCATCACACCATAGCAGAGGAACTCAGAGCTCCAGCCTGTGTGTAGGAGATTAGAAGGGGAGCAGGACACTGGTAATGTTTGTGACTAAACCATGAAATTACTGTGCTTGCTTGTTTTTTCTGATTAGCCTGTTTTATGGTTTCATAATGATGCTTTAGCTATAAGTTTACATGTTGTTTTACCATGAAATTTAGTTAGGTATTCAAAACTATTTTCAACCTGTTTATGTAACGTGTATTTCACAACTAAGCATTCCAGTGGCATGGGATCATTTTTATTAGCCGGACACAGCTAATCTTTAATCCATTTTCAGTTTAAAACCTTGCTACAGTGTACTCTATACACAGCAATTTTCCATAGTATTCGCAAAGTGTTACACAAGTAGAGCAAAACGATAAGAAATACACAAGATATAATGTGACACAGAGATTTCCTCTTTATTCATTTAGCAGAAGGACTTTTGAGAAAGGAGGGCCGAAGGGTCATGAAGCAACTGGGGCTTAAGGGTCTTGCTGAAGTGAAACTACTTTGCGGATCCAGTGATTTAAACCAGGGACCTTCTGATCACAGACACAGCCTCTAACTGACTGGGCCAGACGCCTCCTATATGCCCACAGAGCAACAGAAAGAACATCAATAAACAGAACAAGCCCTCAATTTCAAAGGAAATATAGAAATACAAGCAGTAGAATACTGTTCACTGTGATCAACTTAGGTTGGGTCATCATAGAGTTGTATTGGATAATCCTTCCACTATACAAATGAATCAGTTCCACCCAAATAAGTCTTAGTATCTATAAACACTCAGGACACACTCAAATGTAGGGCAGACATATTATAGTAGTATGTCCACTACATTTCCCCACAAGTCCTTATTTCAAACACTATATGGATAAAAGTATTGGGACACACCTCTGAACCCATGAATTCAGGTGTGTCATTCAGAGCCATTGCCACAGGTGTGTAAAATCAAGCAGCTTTTTGAAAAAAATGGGTCATTCTGTAGAGCTCAGTAAATTCAAGCGTGCTACTGTTGTAGGATGCCTCCCTTGCTATAAGTCAGTTTCCAAAATTTCTTCCCTGCTGGATATTCCACTTTCAACTGTAAGTGGTTTTATTCCAAAGTGGAATCGTTCAGGAACAACGGAAACTCAGCCACGAAGTGGCAGACCACGGATAGTAGTCTGCTGAGGGGCACAGTGCGTAAAAAAAAGCTCTGTTGACTCGATAACTACAGAGGTCCAAACTTCCTCTGACATTGGGCCTCATTCACCAATATTTTCTTAAGAATTCTCTTAAATTTGTTCCTACGAAATTTGTTAAGAAAAACCCAAGTCGGATTCATGACGTGTTTTTAAGTAGCAGAATTGTTCGCACCTTTGTTCTTAAGAATGGTGAATCCCACGTCTTCGTAACTGAAAGCGCGTGCCAGTTTGTCCTAATTAGCATAGGGAAACGCCCTGCAATTTCCCATAAAAGGGCATGAGACTGTAGGACCTTGTGCAAGGAATGGCGAAGAGGCACGCAGGTTGTGAGCCACTTGGCACTAAGAGGAAAAAAAACTTAAGTAATGCTGAAGTAGAAGTATTAATACAGTAAAATCCCATTATAGTGGACTTGGCTTATAACGGAATATCGTCTATAACGGACGAGATCCGCTGGTCCCGGCCGTGCGCCTTCAAGAACATGCAGAAAAAGCATCGGATATAGTGGACTCCCATATAACGGAATTTCACTTGTAATGGACAAATAATTTAGTCCCCAGGGGGCCACTTTTAGCTGTAGTTTTGTTCAGCTATAATGGACATGCAGCTCCTCCTACGAGGCACCTGGCGTGCCGGTGATATCCAGCGCAGATACGTAGTCGGGATTATTAACAGTCACGCATCTGCTCAGGTAAAGTTGGATTACTACATGTACAATATAATAATCTATACCACAAGTGTGTCTGCTGGGGTGTGGCATGAGTAAATGGTGTCCTGTAGTTGTGTTCTGGCCATACAGCAACTCTGGATATAACGGACTTTGGATATAATGGACTGTTTTGCCAGGTCCCTTTAAGTCCGTTATAACTGGATTTTACTGAGCAGAAGGTAAATGCAAATAGACACATGTTATTTAGTAGCGTAACCAGTGGATATAAAGCCCCAGACAAAGCTGATACATGGAGAGATATCACCTTCTCTGTGAGCACTGTGTGCCAAATAAATCTAAATGATCTTCAAACATGCGTTCCCTTCTCAGAGCACGATTGGCAAGCTCTTCAAGAAGTAACAGAAATGCCATTTTGATAGCAAGGCCAATGCGCAGAAACAGGCCTATTTATAATCCGCATGATAGCCGATCCGATTTTTACACTTAAAAATTATTTTTTATATTTTACTTTTATAAATTATTCAAATACTTTCATTTTATGAACTGTGGAATGAACAAAACTGCTATAACCGATTATTTTGAACAAACTATCATTACTCAAATGTGCGTACGAATGGTCTTGAGTGTGTGTAGATTCTGTTCTTAGCGAAGAACAAATTCAGATAAGAAAACATTGGTCAATGTCAGAATCTTCGTAAAAAAGTGCATACGTGGGGTTTAAGAACAAATTTGTTCGTAAGAATGGTTGATGAATGAGGCCCATTAACCCCAGCACAAAAACTGTGTGCTGGGAGCTTCATGGAATGGGCTTCCATGGCTGAGCAGCTGCATGCAAGCCTTCTCTGTCTGGGTCGAGGTTTGGCGGACGCCAGGAGAACGTTACCTGTCTGACTGTATTGTGCCAACTGTAATGTCTGGTGGAGGAGGGATAATGGTATGGGCTTGTTTTTCAGTGGTTAGGTAAGGCCCCTTAGTTCCAGTGAAGGGAACTCTTAGTGCTTCGGCATACCAAGACATTTTGGACAATTCTATGCTTCCAACTTCGTGGGAACAGTTTGGGGAAGGCCCTTTTCTGTTCCAGCATGACTGTGCCCCAATGCACAAAGCAAGGTCCATAAAGACATGGTTGGGTGAGTTTGCTGTGGAAGAACTTGACTGACTCGCATAGAACCCTGACCTCAATCCCAATGAACACCTTTGGGATGAACTAGAACGGAGATTGTGAACCAGGACTTCATGTTCAACATCAGCGCCTGACCTCACAAATGCTCTTCTGGATGAGTGGGCAAAAATTCCCACAATCTTGAGGAAAGCCTTCCGGGAAGAGCGGCAGCTGTTATAGCAGCAAAGGGGGACCAACTCCATATTGATGCCTATGGATTTAGAATGGGATGTTCCTGTAGGTGTAATGACCAAATGTCCCAGTGCTTTTGTCCGTACAGTCCATGTACACTAATGTCCCCAGAGACACCTGCTCTCTCCTGCCTCTCCTGGTCACCATCTATGACCAGCACACAGGCCAAGTTGGCCCTTCTCTGTCTCCCAATGGTCCAATGCAGGTTTTATAACACCTCACAACAGCAGCCACACTGTCATTACCCTCTTCTCTCAGCACTGAGGTTTGCTATCACCTCACTATCTCAAAAGAAACGTCTCCTCTTCCATTTGAAGAGGACGGGTGCCACTGATTGCTAGCAAATGGAATTAATGCACAGAGGTCGACTCACGGTCTTTCTGTGAGTGAATTCTGTGAGTGAATTCTGAAGGCCGTGAGGCCTCGGTGAATCCAGAGCAGGCTGCCCGCTGGATGGTGAGCTGCAGCAACGCCAACGGAGGTGCTGGAGAACCTCAAAGCCGGCAAAACTCCTCATATATGCTTGACTATATATGTGATTGACCTGTTCATCCAGTACACAACCTCGGATCAAAATTACAAGCAGATATTGAGTTTTGACCACTAAATGTAGGACAAGAACAGAACTGAAATTATCCTGAGCCCTTTCCACAGACTGTGTGATTAGGCTGGAGAGAGGCCATTTGGAGCGTGTTTCCGATTTGCCATCCAAAGAACACCCCCCTCCGCCAGTTCTCATGGATCTCCTCGGCCTCGGCGCCTTTCTGCCAGGTGGGACTGCCCTTCACGGCTCCCGATGTGTGTCTGTGGAACTCTGGGGAACCCCCCCGGCTAAACCACAGGCCACCTGGTGCTCGGCGGTACATGGGGAGGTTGGAGAGGGCTGGGAAATCACGGCCTGGCCTGCTCAGGCATTAGCGGCAGCTTGCTGCCTCTCTGAGTCATTCCTCTAATTTCCATTGTTATCGTCTGCATCGGCTGCCCGCCCCGATGCACGAACGCAGCTCGAACGAAAAAGAACACAGGGATGGATATCATGGCAAGACATCCTGCCCTGTAATTATGAGTCATTATCTGAAAGATTGCAAAACCTCTTTAATGCAAATACGCTAATGGGAATGAATGAAGTGGCAGACTTCAAAGCGCTGCACATGCTACAAAGGCCTCTGGTTTCTCCATGCCCTGATGGCACAGCTCATTCAGCATGAAGGGAACCACATTCATCCCAGTGACTAACGCTAACCAACCCCTTCCAGGGCCCTTCTGTCTCTGCTGAGCCGACAGTCAGCCCGCTGAAGCACACATACACTACCTGTTGCAGCAGGTAGGTCTCTCTGCACCACTTCAATATCAATACCATAAAGACATTAATAAGCAACAAGTTCAGTATCTCACCTGACACAAACCTGCTATGTCTAGCTTCAAAAAGTACAGCATTTCTTTCCCAAAGAACAGAGGTAGTAAAGTTTCTCAAGATTATATTATATTATATTATATATTACAATCCCCAGGTTAAGAACATCCATCTTACAGAAAGCTCATACTTATGAGATTGACAAAGCCTGTTGTATTAAAAATTTGGGTTAAATACAATGGTTCGTAATAACTTTGTGATGCTGGTGAAAACATTGGGCAGCTTTGGTGGTTCATCGACTTGAGGTACAGTACAGTACCGTATGTAATTACTTTTATTATTACTATATAATTATTATTATTGTGTACTGTATTATTATTCTGACTTACCTACAAATGTGACTTAAAAACAGGCTAAGGGCAGTTTTCCACCGCACCAAGTACCATACTTTTACGGTACTTTCACTCTTCCATTGACTTCTGGTTGAGGACCAGTACCAAAAGTTCCAATACGGAAAGTGCCAAACCAGCTGGGGTACTCCTTTGGTACTTTGGGGTGGGATTTGAAAGGCTTTCTTTGCCGATTGGTTATGCAAATAGCCTGCCTCTAAACATAATACAAACACCACCTTGAAAACAGTTGCAAATTCAGAAAACAATGATAAATGCCGTACAAAAAATGCAATTTGGTCACAAAAACATATACAACAAAAAATGCAGTTGGCATGGCGAGAAATTAAAAAGCATTTTGTCGAATATACTAATACAGCAGGCATATAGCATGCTGTCCTAGCAATATGATTTTGTTATAAATATATATAATGATTTTTTTGTAATAAATTTGAGGTATTTATAAAACAAAAAAGGAGTTAGTCAATTTCTCACAAACTCCGTCTTAAAGTGATTTAAACAGCAAGGATGTGATGTTGGTATTAATATTGAACATCACCAGCCGTATTATACACTACAACCATTTTTTGATTTCAGTACAAAATACCCTGCCTCGAGTTGTGATGTCATTCGGCACCTTGAAGTACTGTACTTTTGGTACTTTCTCAAAGTACCAAAAGTATGGTACCTGGTGTGGTGGAAAAACGCCCTTAGAGAACGGATGTCGTTCCTAACCTGGGCACTGCCTCTATATTACATTTATGACCACTTTACTAGACCACTCCAAGTTAACAGCTTAGCCCAAAGCTACAACAGCTGGAGCCCCTGAGGAATGAAAGCATTGTTGTGTGAAAACGCTCCAAGCCGTGCTCCTCCAACCAACGCACACGGGACACACACACAGGAAGACTGTTTACTCACCACCAGGTACAGCATGGCGAACATGGAGAAGGAGGCGTGGCCTGAGAAGAAGGACTTCCTGTGGGATATGACAGCACACAAGATAAATCACACTGTAAACGCTAGGATAATCACGACATCTATAAAAACAACATAAAACATGAGCAAAATGAAATTCGTTTTTTTTTTGTGCAACCACTGTGAGGAAAGTGAAGATTAAATTTTATTAGGATTTCATTCCAGTATGACTACTAACTACCAGTCTAATTATGATTTAATCAGTAGAGTTAATCAGTAGAGTTAATCAGTAGAGTTAATCAGGCCAATCAGATCACGGTGAGCTTTTTCCTGCATACCTTGCCTCTTGGACCCTGCTCTCCTGGCCTCGGCACTTGTAATCCACGACGTATCCCACAGAGCAGTTGATGAGGCTGAAATCGGGGTCACACACAGCCAGGAAGTGGGGGCGCATTCGGCCCACGGACACCTTGGCGATATCGGTGAATGACTGGCTGACGGCGCAGCCAAAAATGAAGAAGCCCACTTGTTTATAAAGAGCTGAGACGTAGGGGTTGCCGATGAAGGATCTGGAGCCTTGGCTCAGGTAGTGGATCCTGTAGCATTCACCTATGATTATCTGCGCAGGAGGAAACGCGTCTCAGGTAATCACGCTTTGCACAATCCCCCAGTGACGCAAATTCTGCTGCTTTTCTATCTGTCAGTTTCTTCAAGTCAGGGCAGTAGTTGAACGGATGCTGGGAGTGTTGACATCGCTAGACTTTGCATATTTTTATAGCAGCACAGAGTTTGAGTCACCGTCAGGTTGCACACTGGTCACACACATGCATAGACACGCAGGGGTGAACGTGGCAGAGGAGGAGTGTGGTGAGAGATGGCGGAGAAGAATGTCAGCATGGCCTGCCTTGCCTGGACAAACGATTGTTAGCGTAGCAGAATGTAAACGTTGCTGGTACGTTGCTAAAGCATTTTTCAGGAGCCCATCGTCTCACACGTACACCAGATTCTTTTCCTAGCAAACACTGCCAGCCACTCTTTGTGTTAGACGAATGACTTATGGAATGATGTTGGGATGAAGGGGAAAGTTTAGTGCTAAATTAGCCATTAGCGGTGGTTTTATTTCTACAGACAAACAGAACCATAAAAGCTTAGTAAAGTTTAAAACAAAGTAAACTGGCATTGAACTTAAAGCACATAAATAGCTGCCTGCTGTGTGAGTACCCTCCAGCATTAATAATTATATGTAACCAGGAGTGAGTAATCTAATAAAAGTGAGCGGCATGGCCCAGGCTTGGCAGGGCCATGACAGAAATACTGAAATGCACTGTTCCAGCAGGGGAGATGGAGGCCAAGCAGTGGTCACGCAGGGACGTGCTGATCAGACACATCAATCAGGAATCATCCCGGGGACCTGACAGGCACCCAAAAACACATCGCTGTCCTCCACATCCTCTCAGTTGACTTACAAATAACCTAACTGAGTTTCTACAGGATCTTATCCATCTTTAACATCTCCAACAACAATTCCAGCACAACTAAAATGGCCAGTAGTAATAATGGGTCGCAAAAAGCTGAATAAACAAATATTGATTCTGTTATTAGTGGTGGCCTGTTGTGTCCTGTATCTAGTCCATAAACCTCTGGATGTAAAAAGTCCTCAGTTTTGCACCGGTGATGTTGAGAGCGCCACCAGCTGCTTACTCAAGCCCAAAGCCTCCAATGCTGCATAAAAGTTTAGGTCAGATGTAATCTGAACTATGTGGACTATGTTTAAAACTGCTACATGTGACAAACATAACTCCCAAAATGGACACCCCACACCTTCCCCGTGATAACATATGCCTGAACTCTATCTTCCCAAGTGGTTCTAATTCCAGGAATCGCTCACAACACAATTTGCTACATAACACCCGAAATTGCTCCCCACCAACAGACACCGACAGCTATGAGATTCCGTAGCCTGAGGGCCAGCAACGCTGGGAAGCCTGGCTCTAGAATGTTCCGCGGATTTATCAGGAAACTATGCACCATCCAAGAATGTTTCATTCCCATACATACTGGGGGACCGGCATAATGGCCCTACTGGGGGGGCTTCCTCCTCCCTGCTGGCTCAGCCCCTGGTTTTCTCTCAATGGCACTTTCACTGAAACTTAGTCCAGAATCTGACGAGTGGGTCTCAGAGACCCCATCAGCGAGTAGCTGGAGGCTTTCTGGAGGCAGCGAGGCAGCTTTGGCTCTCTGGGATGGAATTATTTATCGTTGCTATGCGAAGGGGATTTGCAGGGCAGCGACACGCACAGCGCCGACACCACGGGGAGGTGACGGAGAAAAGCAGAGGGACAGAGGAAGCCCATATTGAAGCCAAGAAGAGAGGGATAACTAAGGAGGAACGCTGAGGAGGGACGCTAAGGAGGGATCGCTAAGGAGGGACTCTTAGGATGGACCGTAAGGAGAGAGCCTAGGGAGGGATCGCTAAGGAGGGACCCTAAGAAGGGACCCTAAGAAGGGACCCTATGGAGGGACCCTAAGGAGGGATTGCTAAGAAGGGACTCTATGGAGGGATCCTAAGGAGGGATTGCTAAGAAGGGACTCTATGGAGGGACACTAAGGATGGACCATAAGGAGGGATTGCTAAGAAGGGACCCTATGGATGGACCCTAAGGAGGGATCGCTAAGAAGGGACTCTATGGAGGGACCCTAAGGAGGGATTGCTAAGAAGGGACCCTATGGATGGACCCTAAGGAGGGATTGCTAAGAAGGGACTCTATGGAGGGACCCTAAGGAGGGATTGCTAAGAAGGGACCCTATGGATGGACCCTAAGGAGGGATCGCTAAGAAGGGACTCTATGGAGCGACACTAAGAATGGACCATAAGGAGGGATCGCTAAGAAGGGACTCTATGGAGGGACCCTAAGGAGGGATTGCTAAGAAGGGACTCTATGGAGGGACACTAAGAATGGACCATAAGGAGGGATCGCTAAGAAGGGACTCTAAAAGCTCATAATCTCCAACTCTACACAAAGGGCACTAGCAACACACTCGGCCTGCAGAGAGTATCTTCTCCTATTTGTACCTGTCAGTGCTTTTAGATTCCACAGAGGGTGGGGGTGGTGGTGGTGCCAACATTGATTTCGTTGAAAAGAAAAAAAGACTTACAGAAAAGACGGTAATAAGAATGCCAGCAGCGGTAAGCACAGCATCGCTTATGGTGTCTCCGTCTTTGAGCGGGAGCTTGATGGACTCGTCGCTGCAGTAAAAGCCGCGCCGGTAGGGCTCGACAGCGCTCGTTTCGATAACCAGGAAAGGCAGGCCGGCTACAGCGAGGTCGACAGGAAGTAGAGAGACAAGACAAAAAGAGAAGGGTTCAAAGTCAGTGAGGAGGACACTCAGACTTAGGTGCAGCGTGGGGCTGCCTGGGGGCGTGGCAAGGGGGCGGACGGGGCTCTGGGTGGGCGTGGTCTATGCTTCTGTCATTCCTTGCCATGAGAAAGTGGGCAAAGCTAACTAAGCTAACTAGCCTAACTAGCACCACCCCCATGCCCCTCCACTGCCCCGGCGAGCCCCCAGGCAGCACCGTGCTGTAACCGACTTACAGAGGTGATGGGCAGAATGAGGCCAACGGCTAGCAGCACCGACGAGGAGACGGTGCTTTTCTTATAGGAGAAGTGGATGCTGCCGTCATCACAGTAGAAGCCCCTCTGATAGGGCTGGACGCTCGACTTGTGGAGCATGAAGAAGGGAAAGGTGACTGTGCAAACAGACAACAGGAAGAGCGTCAGGCCTCGGGGGGGCGCCACCCACCTACCTGCCAGTCCGGGGCGGGCTGGGATTTCAGGAAACTGTCATTCTCACACCACGGATTACTGATTATTTTGTTTGGCATTTTTGGTTTGTTCAACTGAGCATTGAATGAATCTCTGGAGGTAACATCTGCATAACGATATCCCTCAGCAGTATGCAATGAAAACAGGAGTAATGAGATTTCTGTCCAGATATTTAGAAAAACAATAGATCACTATTTTACTCTTCATCGTTCAGATCATCTTCTCGTCCACTTTAATATTGTGTTTTGGAATCTTATATTAATGATTGAATTGCATATTTTTGCCAAGTCACACAGAAAAAAAAAATGTTTTCTGCAGTTTGGCAGCGTAAGGAAAGGCATTTAGGGTGATCTACCTGTCTAACATGCTGGCAAACGTGCTGCATCAGCTTCCCCAGGGCAGACAAACAGAGAAATCTCTGATTAAGCTTGTGGCTACAAACAAAAAAAAAAAAGCACTTTCCTTAACCACCCAAAATCCTGAAAGCTCTCAAGAAGGGGAACTTTTAAGTTTGTGTGGTAGTGGTTGGGGGAGACGAGTCAGCCTCAGGACCTTCAACTTTCAACCATAGATTTAGAAAAAAAAACAAACATGGTTGACTTTGAAGACCAGTCACTATGCTCTAGGGTTAGAAGGTGACAGGGTGACACAAACCCAGAGGACACATTGCGTCTCCAAATCCCGAAGGTGTTCAGAATGTGATCTTTCCATGGGAATCCATAGTTTTCTCCCCCAATTCTCAGGCCTGCTTCCAACGGCTCAAAGGTCAGACCCAACACAAAATAATTAAGTAGCTACTTTGAAACCCAAAATAAATACTTTTAAAGAATCGTAGGCACCATTACAAACAAGTTCAGTCTTCTCCAAAAACAACACAGATCAGATTTTCAATATAGACAGATGACAAGGAATATGGCATAAATATATCATAAATGATCTGCGGAAATACAGGAAATCCTCAATGAAAACCACTTAGATATGTGGGTTCTTAAGCGGTGCTGTGCTGTACATTTGGGATCAGGTGCTTTCTATTTCCTTTCTGTACCATTTGGACTGGCCTTTTTTCAGTTACTGCTAGAATGGATGCCATTAATAGACTAACAGCTGCACAAATAGAGGAGGGGATTTGGTGGGATTGGAGGGACAGAGGAAATTATACTGGATAGCTGTGTCATACTTTACATAAAATGCCATCGTTCAGCTGTTAAAGGGGGTGGATGGAGCAGCCCGAGGCAGTACTGTACATAACACCAAGATACCCGGTTCCTCCCGAATGGCCACTGAGGTTCTTTCAATCGCATTCATTTTCCACCCAGGAGAGTCAGCTCAAACACACTCAGGTAACGTTACCATGTTCCACTCATCACCCGGAAACCCAAGTAGAAAGTTCCGTAGAGTAACCAGCCTACTGAGTGCAATTCCCTATTGGACCAGTGGATCAGAAAATGCAAAAAGGTACCCTGAAAAAGTGGGGACACTTTGGGACATGGGAGACCACAGTGGGGGGATTTTAACAAACTGAGGAAGCGCTGAGGCAGACAGACCCCAGGGAGGGAGAGCAGTTAGCATGAAGGGGCAGGGCGGAGCTTCCACTGAGAAACCCAGCGTCCATACAAAGCTCGAGTGGCTTTCTAAAAAACACTTTGACCAGTGAGGGGCCTGATCCAGCCCCAATCTTTCCACGCTGTATCTATCTGTTTACAAAAACCCCTCTGTCCCCATTGCCTCCCTCCAGCCTATGGGAGGCACTGTAGCAGAGTACCTTTGTATCGCCCTCCATACCATTGCCATGAGAGCAGCCTGGTATGTTGAAAACACTCACCCCCCCCCTCCACCCCTGCCCCCCATTTCACCCCAAACAAAGCAAAAACCTGAAGAAAAACAAAAAGCCACTTTCCTGAGGCAGACAACTAGCGTACAGAGATGAGATGAGAGAGCAACAGAAAATGTGTATCCACATACAAGAAGAAAATGTGTGGGTAACTCCTTTATCTGGCAGTTTTTAGACGAAAGGAACAGAAAGGAAGCAGAGGAGAGGAACAGAAGAGGGCAGGAGAGACAGAGGAACAGGGTCCATTGAGTCTGAGTAAAATAAAGACCAGAAAAAGAGGAAAGAAGAGCCACTGGCATGGAGCGTAGAGCATGTGTGCTCAGTGACACAGGGGAGGTGGAGGAGAGACAGACAGGATGGGGAGCGAGACAGAATGAGCAGAAAGGCAGAACGAGTGGAGAGGCAGAAAGGCAGAACGAGTGGAGAGGCAGAAAGGGCAGAGAGGCAGAAAGGGTAGAGAGACAGAAAGGCAGAACGAGTAGAGAGGCAGAAAGGCAGAACGAGTGGAGAGGCAGAAAGGGCAGAGAGGCAGAAAGGGCAGAGAGGCAGAAAGAGCAGATAGACGATGAGCTTTTCAGCATCTTTTTTTTTTTAAAGTTAGAAATGTATAAAGCAACAGTGGGTGGGGCTGGAGGGCTGAGCAGTGTGTTGGGGGTGTTGGTTACAGTCCCATGGGCAGGGACGTGTCTCCCATAATCAGCGATGTCAAACTGGCTGCTAAATTAGAAAACATTTCCATATAGAAATAGGCTGGGGGGTGGGGGGGCAGTGCACCAGCGATGACAAACAGCCGTAGAGTGGTGCGGTGTCCCCCTAGTTTTGAGTGACTTATCAGATCTGGACACACAGCCTGCCACGTGAGGAAATCACCACACAGATCATGGGGGGCGACGGGGCCTCCCCAGGCTGCAAGAAGAATGGCCCATCAGAAGGCATGATATGCAGTGGAGGGGAACCTTCCTATCGGTATTCATATCATCCCTGCTTACAGGACCGCACCGGTCCAGCTGGGCTCACGAACGGCTCTTTCTCATTGAAGAAAAACACCACAGAATCCCTCTTTCTGAAACATCTACTGGTCTTCTCAGTACCTTCACATGGCCAAAATGCAAAGCAAAGCCAGCACTGAACTGAACCCGTCTCATTACAAAAAACAGGATTAGAGACGAGGGGATCTTCCAGCTCATCCTATCACTGTATTGAACACAAGCACTGGGATAAAGTACTTAGATAATGGCTGTAAAGCACCTTGGGATTTACCTGTAAATTCCTCACTTTCGCTAACTGGTTGGATAATTAAGCTTTACTTGTCTCAGAGCATCATCATATCAACACAAGGATTCCATTGCCGTTCCATCTCCAGCCTTCAGTGAAATGCTTCATATTGCAGAAGAGAATGATTGTATTAACCAAGTGCATAAAATGATCATGATGTAAGTGATTTTCCCATAATGGACAATGCAAACCATTCAGCTAGATGAGCAGGCTTTTGTTTCTGGCGTTATGCAACCTTTTAGATATCACTTGAAGAAACTCAAAATGAATTTTACAACAGTGTAATTGAATCTCCTTTTTAAAATTTGAAAATGAGCGCTAAAAACTGTAATTATATTTTTTTAACATTCTTTAAGCTTGCAATGTGAATGGAAAGAAGTTAATTGGGACTATAGTAATTAATCTCACCGATTATAACCTAACCTAACCTTATCTAACCTAACCTAACTTATCACTAACCCTACCCCCATGGTCAGAGAGTGTGGTCAGCCTTTGTCCTCAGCCTATTACTTAGTCTCTTACTGGCAGTGCAGAGATCAGTTGCAGCTCAGGGATGGGGCACTGACCAGAGAGAGTGATGGAGGACAGCAGGAAAAAAGGTACGGTGACAGATGCCTACTGCTCTCCTCCAGAGCATGGTGTGCACGTGCCCTCCATCATTCTGCACACAGAGGTGGGGAAAGGAAGATGGGCTGGGTGGAGGGAGATGGGGGTGCAGTGGGAACCCACACACATACAAACAAATGCACCCACACACAGACACACACAAACACACACGCACCTTTTTTAACAGGAGCATTTCTCCTTTGCAACCAGTACCAGTTAGACGTGTATGCAGATCATCTGCTGTGCTTGCTACAAAACTACTTAACCACTGCGTGAAGATAATGTGTGCCAGGGCACAGGCCAGGGCTTGTCAAGGCATCATGCATCACAGGACCAGCTAGGGAACACAGTTCTAATCTGTCAACAACAGGGCGGCGCCAGTGTGCTGAAATGGACCTGTGGCAGTTTGTTAGGAAGCCAGTGAGACGTGCCAGTGTAGCCTGCTCAGTGTCCCATATTAATCATCACATCAGTGCCTCTAGATCAGTTAAAGCAAAAAGTTGGTACTCTGGGGGGGGGCGGGGGGGGAGGAGGAGGAGGCAGGTCCCCGGTGTCTGCAAGGTCTCTATGCAGAATTTGGTGTCAGAAATTCACTGGCATCCTAACAGCTGAACAGCCACAGAGGGGCAAGTCCGGCGGTGAGGAAAATAAACACACATATACTGAAGCCAGCATGGGACACAATGAATATTCACTTCTGGAGACGGCCAGGCAGTGACATGCAGCGCGGCGGTGGGCCGTGTGGACAGAAAAGGCCACTCAGGCCCGAGCCCGTCAG